TTACCAAGGAATGAAAGCCAACTGTATGCCCATTAGCATGGTGCTAACCACATAAATTATGTCCATACATTTTGCCCATTTTTATAACAGTTTAGCAAACAGCTGTGTGATGATTTGGCATGCAGTTGGCGCAGTGCTAATTGGTCGGGCCTTAGTTGTTAGCCTTACAGCTCCAGTGATGTTCATCTACATTTGGGGTGAAGTGAAAATTTTGGCAATTTGATTTTTTGAAAGTATCTTTTTGAACTTTGAACCATAGAGTTAGCAATCCATCCTGATTGTTTCCATCTCTCCTCAGGAAGGGCGGTGCAAGTTTAAAAATCAGAGAGCTTGGGCTAAGTGCTCCGGCTATAGAAAGGTGCCGTGCAAAGAACGCGCTCTGAGGAACGCTGTGGCCACAATCGGACCTATTTCTGTAGCTATAGACGCCTCCCGACACAGCTTCCAGCTCTACAAGTCAGGTAATCCTCAGAAAACAGTCCCGCGTGTACTCTCGACCATATTCTGTCTTTGTTGAGGCACACATGAAGAAATTGACCACTTGCAAGATAGTGATTGTCTCTAAACATTTCTTCCTCTGTCAAAAAAAGGAAGAACATTTCAGAATAAATTTGCTGTGAGAACGGCAGTGGCAAGAAATCAGAATGATTAGAGTAAGAAATGGCGGAAAGGTATCAGAGAGGAGCGTACAATGCCTGACTCACACTATCCTGATCATCTGGAGCTGTTTTAATTTAATTTCATTTATTTTAATTCCTGAAAGTGAAAATGTTTTGGAAGATCAAACTCACAGCTCAGTGTCAAAACTACTAACAGGCAGACTTGCACTGAATATTAAGATCTGTTAACTAATTAGTTAACTTTTCTTAGCTTAGCGGCTGACAGTTACCAGATTAAAGAGGACTGTAGAGTGAGAGATTAAAAACATTAGGTATAAAGATAAATATTAATGCACTCGTACACATGCTATTCTTTATATAGTTTCATTAAAATTTGCTGACAAACCTCACATTAAAGATGGTGAGTACTTTTCAGTACCTAATGTAACATTGCTCTCTGACTATTTAGCATTAGCTCATCTGAAGACCTCCTTCTTATTAGACATGAAAATCTGCTCCTTTAACATCGAGATGCCTAATATATATATGTATATAAAAAAATGTATTTAAATTAATATATGGTTTCCAGAATCCATTTTTGTTACTCAAATGATGTATGTCTGATCTGGATATCCATCCATCCATCATCTAAACCGCTTATCCTTCTGGGTCGCGGTGGGGTACTGGAGCCTATCCCAGCTGCCATCGGGCGGAAGGCAGGATACACCCTGGACAGGTCGCCAGTCCATCGCAGGGCAGACAAACAGACATATACATCCACACACACACACTCACACCTAGGGGCAATTTAGCACGTCCAATTGACCGGACTGCATGTTTTTGGACTGTGGGAGGAAACCGGAGTATCCGGAGGAAACCCACGCAGACACGGGGAGAACAGGCAAACTCCACACAGAAACGACCCTGGCCGGGAATCGAACCCAGGCCATTCTTGCTGTGAGGCGACAGCGCTACCGTGCCGCCCACCTGATCTGGATATCAAGCCAGTTTATTTTTGAATGATAAAATGTTTCTCCTCTGGGTGCCTCTAATCTGAATTTGCAGGTGTGTATAATGAGCCAGCCTGCAGCAGCACTAAAATAAATCACGCTGTCCTGGTTGTTGGTTACGGCACTACTAGACGTGGAAAGGACTACTGGCTGGTCAAGAACAGGTAAACTTCACAAAGACAATTCCTGATCACATTACTGTCAGGGACACCGTAAGGAAGGGGTCATCAACAGCCAGCATGGATCTTTTACTGCTCTGTTGTGGCTCCACAGCAGAATTAGATTTGTAGGTAAAAATAAAATAATCATCCTTTGCAGTGAAATAAAGCTATGCTGATCGTTCAAACACAGTTTTAAAAATAAATGGTCTTAAATGCTGGAGGTAATGTAGACCTGCTAGTTCACCCTTTAACCCTGAAGGCTGGCAGGCTGCTGGTCACCTTAGCAACACAGACAACAATCTTCTCCAGGTAGTAGCTAACAAAAAGGCAAAGAAAGAGATTCAAGACGAACGTCAATAATTTAAGACAAGTGGACTTATGGACAAAGAGTCACGATTACTTCCAGTTTAAGCGTTAGCAGGGTAAAACTCAATTCCGCTCCATATAACTACTGCAGAAGCAATCACAAAATGTTATAGTAGTGTACTGCTATGCTCAAACACTGAGCTACAACAGCTATATTTTAGATTTCCCGCACTGCCGTGACAAAAAGCGAGATTAAGAAGTGGATAGAAGCACTGATTTAACTGTAAACAGAGCTAAAATGCTGTATGTGTGTAACGAGACAGAAAGGGCCAGACGCTCGCGGTAAAAAACAAAAGATGAGGCTTTAATATCCAAGGGTTTGACAAGAATCGCGGTCAGTAAACAGGCGAGGGTCAGATCCAAAACAGCAACAAGGTACAAAATGGCAACCATAACCAAAGGGCAAAGACAAAAGGGAAAAACCAGAAATCCAGAAAAACAGTCCAAACACAAAAAGGCAATCACAAAAACAGGAGAAACGCTCAGTAGTTCTACAAGAGAAGCAATACCTCGCAATCTGGCTAAGCTAAAGCCCGGGCTTTTAAACTAAACTAAACAAGTCATGTGACATGGAACACAGGTGAACAGAGTTAGTATTCAGGAGACTGTGAGCGCTGATTGGAGCGTGAGGGAAGGTCAGGGGTCACGTGAGTCAGGTGATCTCTCAGAGGATTCTGGGAGATGGAGTCTGAGTGTGCATCAGAGCCGGGATGTGTGACAGTACCCCCCCCTAAAGAGTCCGGGGTGGCCTCGGAGCGAGGCCGACCAGGACGACCACCACGCTCACCACCGGAGATCCGAACAGGAGCAGACCCAGAGCCGCCGCAGCGCTGGACAGACGGGGTTCGTCTACGACGACCCCGCAGACGATCAGGAAGTGAACTTGGGAGCACCTTTCGTGGACGACCCCTAGGGCGAGGAGCAGGTTTTTAAGGGTGTTGACTGTGGAAGTCTGCAATTAGGCCAGGATCCAGGATGTCACGTGCTGAGACCCAGCACTGCTCCTCTGGGCCGTATCCCTCCCAGTCCACTAAGTACTGGAGGTCACCTCCACGTCTCCGGGAGTCCAGCAGCCGACGGACAGCATAAACTGGTGCATCATCTATCTCCTCCGGGGGAGGTGGCGTGACGTCCGGCGTAGCCTCGTCCAAAGGCCCTGCAATGACAGGTTTCAGAAGTGAAACATGAAAAGAATGGGATATTCTGTAACGAGGGGGCAAATCTAATCTATAAGTCACATCATTGATTCTTTTAAGCACTTTAAATGGACCAATATATTTAGGCTGTAACTTTTTACTTCCCTCTGTAGCTCTGAAGTCTTTGGTAGATAACCACACACGGTCTCCAGGTTGGTATACGGGTGTAGCACTTCGATGACGGTCTGCTTGTTCTTTGTTCCTTTGTAGCATAATCTCAATACGTTGGTGAGTTCCTTCCCAAATCCTCTCACTTCGTTGCATCCAGGCATCCACTGCGGGAACATCTGTCGTGACACCAGTCCAAGGCGCTAGGGGAGGTTGGTAACCGAGAATACACTGAAAAGGGGTGATGCCTGTAACTGAGCTCATGAGGGAGTTTTGGGCCATTTCTGCCCATAATAAAAAACGGGACCAATCATTTGGGTTATTATGGCAGAAGAGTCTTAGGAATTTTCCTAATTCCTGGTTCATGCGCTCACATTGACCATTGGACTGAGGGCCTCTATCCGAAACAATGTCTTCCAGTATACCAAAAAAGCGGAAGACCTGGTTAAACAGAGTCTCTGCTGTCTGAAATGCACTGGGGATAGAGGCAAAGGGCACAAAACGGACTCCACATGAGAACCGGTCAATGACTGTAAGGATTGTGGTATAACCTTGACATTCAGGCAGGTCTGTAACAAAGTCCACTGCTAAGTGTGACCAGGGTCTGACGGGTATTGGTAATGGGACTAGTTTACCAGCGGGTAAGGTCTTGGGGGTTTTGCATTGAGAACAGGTGGAGCATGATGCTACAAACGTGTGAATGTCTTTGTTCATGGATTCCCACCAATAGCGATTGGCTAACAATTGTTGTGTACGAGTCTCCCCGGGGTGGCCAGAAGTGAGTGCAGAATGGGCCCATGTAATTAGCTGAGTGCGAAATTGGTTAGGTACATAGAGTTTTCCTGGAGGGCACTGATCAGGAACATTAAAATTAACCAAGGCTGTCTTGATCTCATCATCGACCTCCCAACGAACAGAGGATATAGAAACCTCAGTGGGTAAAATATGTTCAGATGTGGTCTGAATGGGAACTGAATTGTTACTCTGATGTATTCTAGATAAAGCATCTGCTTTTGTATTCCTGGAACCGGGGCGATATGTTATATTGAAATTAAACCGTGAGAAGAACAGGGACCATCGGGCTTGGCGTGCATTCAGTCTTTTCGCGTTACGAAGGTACTCCAAATTCTTATGGTCAGTCAACACTACAAAAGGATGGTTAGCTCCCTCTAACCAGTGCCGCCATTCCTCTAATGCCAGCTTAATGGCTAATAACTCACGATCTCCTATACCATAGTTCCTCTCTGTTGGGGTTAACTTGTGAGAATAAAATGCAATGGGATAGAGTTTCGGGGGAGAGCCTGATCGCTGGGACAAAACCGCTCCTATACCGGTTTCTGAGGCATCAACTTCTACTACGAAAGGTTCTGAGGGATCAGGGTGTTTAAGTATGGGAGCCGTGGTAAAGGTCTCTTTCAAAGTTTGAAAAGCATTTTCAGCCTGTGTATTCCAAATTAACTTCTTGGGATTACCTTTCAACAAGGAGAGTAGTTATTAACCCCGGTAAATGTCAAAATGATTTATGAGTTATGCGTGACGTCACATGTGAAATATGTAAAGTATTTTCCCAGGGGGTTGATGTGTATAAAAATGTAAACATCAGTGGTATGACATCACATGTGAAATATGTAAAAAAATTTCCCAGGGGTTGGTGTGTGTAAAATGTAAACATCAGTTATATGACGTCACATGTCAAAATTGCAACTAATTTTCCCAGGAGGTGATGTGTGTAAAAACTGTGAACAACTATTGTAGGTTGTAAAGAATTTTTTTTTTTTCCGGTGATAAAATGTTGAATTTTCCCCAGGGTGCGTGTTGGGAGGGGTGGCAAGCGTGAGCAAAATTTTCCCCTCTTGAGAAGTGTTAATGAAAAAAATGATGTAAAAGTTTAAAGAGGTGTGAAAAAATAAGAGTAAGGATGAAAAATAATAAAAAAAAAGATGCGAGGACTTACCGTCGGTGGGGTGGGGTGGGTTGGGGTGGGGTGGGGTGGTTGGGTCGGGGTATGGTGTGTGTGTGTGTGTGTGTGTGTGTGAATGCTTTTTGATAACTACCCGAGGTTTGCCCGGTATGATGCGTGGGAATAATTTTCAAAAGATTCCCAGGATGTGTTTTGGAAAAAAAGATGTGTTTTGGAAAAAAAGATTCCCATGATGTAATGGTATGACGTAGTTGTTGTTGTTGTGTTTTTGAGTGACAGCAGCAAGTGGGGGGCCCCCGTTCTGCTAAGCGTGACTAATAATTGAACAGGTGTCGTGTTGTTTTTCTCCTCACAATACTATAAAAACTGGCCGTAAAAGAGACAGATTGGTGCGGAGAGTGACTTTTCTGCAAAACCATCGTCATGGATTCTCCAGACAGATCGTCTAAGGCTCAAGCCGGATCTCCGATCTTGAATTCCTTGAGCAAATGGCGCTATCGCACATTCATTCGGGACAACTTACAAAAGCGTGGAATACCTTATTTCGTGTGGCCAAACAGCCTAAAACGACTGAAACTGAAGGAGCAACCCCTGAGGACCAGTCAAATTTTGAGCGCGAGGAAGGCCTTCGTTCGCAATGACATACCTAAACACTGCTGGCCCCGTTCGATTCGGGAAGAAAACGATGTTACACCTTCGCAGAAGAAAAAGCAGGAAATCGACAGATTCAGAGCGGACGACAGTCTGTTTAAACCGAGCATAAAGAGGAGATGTCTTTCGATGACGTATTTGACAATTTTGCCGAAAGAAACCCGGCTGAACAATCGCTACATCGTTTTCCGTCAGAGCAGACTGTTTCACAGTGACAAGTCGACTGAAGTCTCTATTTCTGAAAAGGAGTTGTACCTGTTAAACCAGACCGTCCCGAAAACGAATGAAGTGGGGGAATTGCATGCTATGATCTTACAGGCCAGAAACAGGTCATGCATGGTTCGCGACACAAAACACAAGACCGAACTGTCCAGGTCTGCCACAATCACACTGAAGGTCAGATCCGCGCATTATTTGCGTCAAATCACCCTGACCATCACAGGGCTCAAGACCCCTGAGTTTACCTACAGAGTTCGACTGGAAGTGTGCACGTCACCTGTGATAAGGCACGAAAACGTGTGCTCCAGCGATGACGACCAGTGGATTTTTTATTTTGCCCCTACTGAAAAAGAAGAGCACGTCCAGCTGATTGAAATAACTTTGCGGGAGAGCGAACTACTGGATATTTATCACGCGGTCAAACATGTTCTGACAGGTAAGAAAAACGCTTTTTTTCTTAAAAATTCATTTTGACCGTTTGAGGTACCGTAGTTTGTGAATATAAACCGTGAAAAGGGTTATACCGTTTCAAGTTGCAGCGTGTGGCCGAAGAGTAAGCATGTACGAGCCCGTTAAACCTTTTAACGATTTTCTCTCTCTATCACCAGCCAGCGTAATATGTGGTTGCGACAGCTGTCATATTCCACGCCCGACGAGTCTGATGTCTAAATACCAAGATGACAAAACGGCGATGCGCATGTGCGAGGACATGCCCAGCGGGGGAGATTGGGGGTGTTCCCCCACTCACCAGCCAGAGCGCGATGAAGAAGAGAGTTCTGATCTAGACCTCGTGGAACGTAAAAAAAGCGGTGAAAATGACATTTCAGATTCGACCAGCGCCAGCGAGGTAGAAGAAGAGGAAGAGGAAGTCTCCGGCGTGACCGATCTGGACAGCGATGAATTTATCGTGGTGGACGAGGACGGCTTACAAAGCCGACCTTCTTCGCCGGCTGACATCGAGCAGCGTGAGAGAGAGAACGCGAGCGCTTTCTCAGGAACGGGGTCAAAAGGTCAATGCGAGGAACCTCTTGACGCCGGCGCCAGCTCGGAAAGTCAGAGCGAGAAGCCTTCGGACCTCAGTCTGAAGGACCGAGCCACGAAAATTGTGGAATTTATCTGGGCAAGAGCGATCATCCTGGCTGTTCGTCAATGGGTTACGAGAGATTGCGCTGGGTGTCAAATTGAACACCCATCACAGAAACAGCACAGCTGCGTGGAAGGCGTCCCCGTAAGATTTCTGGACAACGAGTTAAAGCAGAAGTGGCTGAATCTCATTCCCGCTTGTGAATTGGAAATAAAAGAGTCTCTAAAGCAACACTTTGAATTAAAAGAACCTCATGATGGTTTTGTAATAAACATTTTGCGTAGAATTTACACGCTGACGCAGGAAAAACTGAGTGAATATAACCCGCTGTCCGAGTACCTGAGCAGAGATCCGTCCGAAATTCTGAGCCGGTTTTACATGCGGCCGGATGAACCTCTGAACAGCGCTGCGGAATCAACGGCCGCCGACGTGTGTAAAATTCTGATGGGGTCTGAGGATGACAGATCGGTGTAGTGATTCGCGAGAGAGAGAGAGATTGTGTATTTGTACATAAGACATTTATGACACCGATGTTTTTTTGCTGCTAGTAAGTTTATACATTGTATATATTTTTTTATTAGACAAACCATAAACATTATTATTATTAGAAAAAACTTTATTGTTTTATTAAAAAACACCACATGTTTTTCGTTTAATATTTTAGTCGTTTGAGTTTGTGTAATTGTTTATAGCACCTTTATGACATCTTTTGATCGCTGCTAGTAGTTTACATATTTTTTGAACCCCTTTTGTGCATGTTTATTAGACAAACTGTAAAGTCTTTTCATTTTAATATTTTAAACCATGTAATCATTTTCATTTAATATTTTAATCATGTAATCATTTTAAATCATGTAACCATTTTCATATATTTAATAGTGTAATCATTTTTAATTTTCATATTTTTAACAGTGTAATCATTTTAATTTTTTAATATTTTTAAATCATGTAACATTTTTCATTTTCATATATTTAATAGTGTAATCATTTTTCATTTTCATATATTTAATAGTGTAATCATTTTAATATTTTTAACAGTGTAATCATTTTAATTTTTTAATATTTTAAATCATGTAACCATTTTTCTTTTCATATTTTAATTGTAATCATTTTAATATTTTTTTAATATTTTAAATCATGTAACCATTTTCTTTTCATATTTTAAGTGTAATCATTTTAATATTTTTTAATATTTTAAATCATGTAACCATTTTTCTTTTCATATTTTAAGTGTAATCATTTTTCATTTTCATATATTTAATAGTGTAATCATTTTTAGTTTCATATTTTATACTTCAGTGTTCATCACATTTAGTTTGAAACTAATTTACCTATATCTCAAACTAACGGTTTGTCAGTAGATTAGATACTAACAACCAAAAAAAATATAAAAGAAATAAACCGTTTTTAACAAAAAAAATAAAAAAAAACACATAAAAACCTTTGAACAAAAAAAATAAAAAACCATAAAAACCTTTTGAAGTCGTTTTCTGTCATCAGTTTGTTTTCTCCACATTTTATTTTAGACCGTGTTTTACCCAGAAGAAAATATAAAAACCCTAACGTGTTTCACACCTCGACCATTTGGACATGTCTCAGACGGCGCTGCAAGAGTTGTATCATAAACCCGGGTCGGAAGGCGGTCTGTGTGGTAGGGAGCCCTTTATCAAAAGCGTAAGGGAGGTGGGGTTGGCTAATAAAAATAAAGATGAAATTGATAGGTTTTTACAAAGTTCAGACACTTACACGCTACACAAACCCCGAAGAATAAACTTTAAAAGGAGTTTCGTACTGGCGTGCGAAAAAGATTCACAATGGCAGTTAGACTTGGCAGATTTGTCCTCTCTATCGGAACACAACGATGGGAAAAAGTTTATTTTAACCTGCATAGATGTGTTTTCAAAATACGCGTGGGTGGAGGCGTTGGAAAATAAGAACGCCAAGAGCGTAACGAAGGCCTTTGAACAAATACTTTTACGAGGTAGAAAACCCGTCACCCTTCAAAGTGACAAGGGGCGAGAATTTTGTAATCAATCATTTATGAAACTATTAAACAAATATAAAATAAGACATTTTACTACGGCTAGCGAATTGAAAGCCTCTGTGGTGGAGCGATTTAACAAAACCCTCAAAACGCGGATGTTCAGATATTTTACAGGTTTTAACACCTTGAGATATTTAGATGTGCTTCAGGAACTAGTGAGCGCTTACAATAGCGCTTTTCACAGATCTATTCAAATGCGTCCCGAAGAAGTGAACGAGTGCAATCAGATACAGGTGTTTCATCATCTGTACGGGAAAAGAATGAGAGGGGAATTACCCCGACCCAAGTTTAAAATAGGTGACGCGGTTCGGATTTCGAAAGAGCGCAGGGTCTTCGCGAAAGGTTACGAACAGTCTTTCACGGATGAATATTTTTTTGTGGATAAAATTATTAAACGAGACCCGCCAATGTATAAACTAAAAGACCTCGATAATGAAATAATAGAATGTTCTTTTTATGAAGAAGAAATGCAGAAAATTATTGTACCTGAAAATAAAGTCTATCGTGTAGAAAAAATACTGGCTAGGAAAAAAACTAAATCCGAGGTTCTCGTTAAGGTGAGATGGAAAGGTTGGGATAAAAAATTTGACTCCTGGGTAAACGAAAATTCTATCCAGGACGCTCGATAAAAACCCCGTGAGAGAGCGGCGCGAGCCCCTATTCGGAAGCGCGGACCACCCCACCATGGAAGAAACCAGAGATTTTTTCATCACTCTGCCGAGTAACGCTAGCGACAAATTATACCCTCAAAACGATATATCCAGCTACAGGGTGAAGTTAGCCAAAACCGTTCACCTCAGGGGCGGTTGGGAGGTCGGCTTAGCAGAAATTTCATTTCCCCAGAGTTGGTACACGCTGGCGGACGGGGGGCGACAGGAAACGGACTTTTGGGTGTGCGAAGGGCCGGATCTCAGTAAACAGGTGGCTTTTAAAGTAAAATGCGGTTATTATACTTACATCGCTGACATTTTGACCGAAATGAACAAATATTTTAGAACCACCAAAACCCACGTCGAATTATATTTGGATAAGGTCACGAGACGGGTAAAATTAGGGGTCACACCGGAGGAGATTATACGACTGACCTCGCTGAACAGATGGCCTATTCGGATTCGAACGCACGGACAGTTGGCGCACATTCTGGGCTTCGAGGAACAGAAGTGGACTGACCCGACCGAAACTAAATTCCCTGCCCATATTAAAGGCGGAACGTTTTATTTGTTTCTTTATTCAGATATTTCTTCACACCAGATCGTGGCCGATACCTTAGCACCTCTTTTGCGAACCGTTCAAATACCCAAAGCGCATCTGGATTTCGTCACGCTAAACTTTGACAAGGTGCACTACAACCCGGTCAGCAAACACGTGTTTGATGAAATTTTAATAGAGTTGAAGACGGATCAAAACCGAAACGTCAAATTCGAATTTGGAAAAGTGATCGTGAAGCTACATTTTAGACCGATCCGATAAAAAATGTCTGCTTATCACGCCGACCCTAGCCCCTACGTCCTTTATTATACGCGACAGGCGGGGTCCGGTTTAGAAGGTTTCAGCGGAGCGCCCGTGCAGTACGGAAGAGGGATCGGCAACGTTTTTCGGGGTTTGTTTAGACTGGCGGTGCCTCTGCTAAAATCGGGCTTCAACTTAGTCAGACCACACCTCAAGACCGCTGCTAAAAATATCGCGAAAGACGTGGTTTCCGCAGCGGCGGGGAAATTACTGGGAAACGCGTCGGAAAGGCGGCAGGAGGGGGAAGGCCTGGTGGTTTTGAGCCGCGCGAATCGACGCATGCGCCCACCGGGGCGTCGCGGTTCCGTACCTTTTAAAAATAAAAGTGTTTTTTCAAAAGGTCTCAGTCTGAACAGGAAGCTGGCGGGTGCGCTCGTCCGCGCCTCTCGTTTAAGGAATAGGAAGAAAAAAAAGAGCGAGCGGAAAACCGGTGCGGGTCCCGACATATTTTAAAAGATGTCTCTCATACACAGCGCCTCGGCGGAATGCATGAAGTCCGAGCTGGACCTATTTACGATCCCTATGACGCAACACAGTATAGAATCCTACAAATACGTAGAAACGCCTCCCATCACGGCCATTACCGAAAACGGCCCCCTGGAATTTTTTATGGCGGGGTCGGGGGACACCTACGTCGATCTGAACCGTTCGCTTTTGTACCTCACGTGCAAAGTTACCAACGCGGACGGAACCGATCTGGCGGCCGGTGCGACCGTAGGTTTGATCAATTACCCCGCGGCCACTCTTTTTAGCCAAGTCGACCTGTCCCTCGGCGATAAGCTCATTTCTCAAAGTGGTTCCACGTACACCTACAGGGCCGTTCTGGAGTGTTTGCTTAACTATTCCGAACCTACTCTGAATTCGCAATTCGCAGCGGGGCTGTTTCGCAAAGACACGGCGGGGCGCATGGACGAAGCTGACCCGAACAGAGACAATGAGGGGTTAACGTGGCGAAGCGCTTATTGCGAAAGGAGCCGAACGTTCGAATTAATGGGACATTTGCATAACGACTTTGCATTTCAGGAAAAGCTTCTTTTAAATTCCGTCGACGTGAGAATCAAGTTAGTTCGTAATAAAAACGAGTTTGTTTTAATGTCGTCGGATCCGAACCCGGGCTATAAACTTCACATTTTAACGGCCCTTTTGTACGTGAAAAGAATACACGTGTCACCCAGTGTGAAACTGGGGCACGCGTCAGCTTTGCTTCAGTCTAACGCGAGGTACCCATTAGAACGAGTTAACGTGAAAGTGTTAAGCGTGCCGGCGGGGGGTCGCGTGTCAAACCAGGATAATCTATTTTTGGGCCAAGTGCCAAAATTCATCGCTATAGGTTTTGTTCATAACGAAGCTTTCAGCGGATCATACGCGCGAAATCCTTTTAATTTTCATCATTACGACGTGGAATCTTTAAATCTCAGCGTGGACGGTGTGTCCTACCCGTCCACGCCTTTTCGACCCCTTCTTCCCAGACAGCGCTGCCTGCGAGAATACTTCAGCCTGGTCGAGGCTACGGACAGAGGGTTGAGGGACCAGCCTTTGGCCATCTCTCGTGAAGATTTTTCTCAGGGCTACTGTTTATTCGCGTTCAACTTGACCCCCGACGAAAGCTCGGGCGAACACGTTTCCTTAATACAGTCGGGGCACGTTAGACTGGACCTCCGGTTTCGAGCGCCTTTGCCCAACACCATAAACATCATCGTGTTTGCGGTTTTTGACAACGTGTTAGAAATTAATCACAAACGTGAAGTGCTTATGGACTATTTTTAAAAAAAAATGGACACCAGACAGATCGCTAAAGCCATGCGATGCACCCTCGGTTTCAGAGGCGTATTCGCCTGCGATCAACTACCTCGGGTGTTAAAACACACACCTCCGTCCTGTTTTATTTTAAATACACATCCTCATACACGACCTGGGGAACACTGGTTGGCTGTTTTAATACTGTCAGATGGAAATGCAGAGTTTTTTGATTCCTACGGGTTTCCGCCGGACTCTGAATTTTTCCCCAGTTACATCATGCTTTTTCTAAAAAATAATTCACGACGAGTTTTGTGTAACGCTAGACAAGTTCAAGACCATAGGTCGGACGCCTGCGGGCATCATTGCGTGTATTTTCTAAAACAGCGTATGAAGGGTCTTACGTTTTCTCAGGTTCTAAATTCTTATACCACCGATTTACGAGAAAATGATCGCTCTGTTAAAAAATTTGTAAAAAGTTTGCTGCGGATAGATTCTTACTGTCAT